TTCATTGTACTATGCATAGTAAAATTTAGACTTAATTATAAGCTCTTACTACTGCATGTATTTTAACTACACCTTTTATGTTTCAGCATGCTTGAATTTCATTTAGTATCTTTTTATGGTTACTATACCATGTTTAGAAGAAAGGGAAAACACTGAAAATATTTCAGCGTGTTCGTGAGTAGGGGTATTTTCACTATATTGACATTTACTCCCTTTATAGATATTTTGGGAGTATAATTGAAGAGAAAGCTGACATGAGTGATAACATTATAGATTAAATGTGAAGTTAAGTGGTCATTAGAATGTGAAATTAATGTTTTTACAAGTTACTAATTGAAATGATAAATAATTATTTATAGATAAGTTTTATCAATATATTTATAGCCAACAGACACTGGAGTCTTGCTCTTTACTGCTTATACATTTGTATTAAAACATAAGACTGTTCCCTGTAATGCAAGTGGAGTGAACTAATACAATAGTCAAACTACTTTTAGGTAAAGTAATAAAACTATTATTAACAGAGCTGTTCTACATACCTAACAAATTTAATGAAAAGCTAATCCCTTGTTATCAAATTACATTTCTTTCATTCTGTTCATGAAACTTTAAAGAACATCTGTTATTCATTGCTTGTTTTTCTGTTCAATAAGACTGTATAGGTATTTCTTGTGCAATAAAATATAATCAAATTTTTAATGCTGGAGTTTTCTCTCATTTCTGATTCTCGCATTTTTTTAGCATAAGTCTCATTATAAAAGCTTTGCTGAAGTGGTGTGGCAATTTACACATGCAAAAGAAGCCCTGCATTTCTAGTCACTTAAAATAGTGGTTCTCTTACAAATTCAGATCAACCATTTTCTGTAGCCACTTATTTTTAATAATGGCTTCAGTTTATAAGCAGTAACTAAAACATAGTTGTTTTATTTTGGAAATAAACAGTCTTCAATTTGACAATGAAGATCATTCTTAAACTCAAGACAATTCTAAATGTAAGAAATAAGTATGGATCTTTTTAGACATTTAAACAGTCCTCAATTCTTTTTTATTTAATATTTAAGTAATATTAAATTGGTTACTTAATATTTATTGGAATTTTTAGTTAAAACCTATGTTTTAAAGAAAATATTTGGATCCAGAATTCTTTTATTATTAATATTTAGCCAGCAGTTTCACAAACTTTAGAAATGAGACTATCACAAAGGAAAACTCATAAGAACATCTTTAAAATTTATAAACTCTAACACAAATGAAATGGATGGAAAGTTGCATCAGTACAGTATTTATAATCATATGATATAATAAGCTAAGGTTAGAATTTTAGAAATGTGCTTTTTGATAAATTAATCTCATGATAATTAACAGTTTCAGGAATAAAGCAGAAGACTGTCAACTGGTGTGTAATTCTTTGACTTCTTCATTTATTTAAGTTAAATTGATAGTAAAATAATAATCATTTTTTCCCATACAGAGTTTTCTATTTCTCTTCTGTCTGCCGAGGAAGAAGGACCTCAAACCTCTAGCTGTGACCTTCAGTTATCTAATAGAAATGAAACACTTGAACCTTGGTCTGAACCTTCCGTTTATTCACCTAAATTTGATTCCAAAAAGGAGGGCAGTGCCCCAGTTTTCATCAAAGAAGTGTCAAATGCTGAAATAAGCATAGGGGATGTGGCGAAGCTGTTTGTTACTGTCATTGGCATTCCCACACCCCAGATACAGTGGTTCTTTAATGGAACAGTGTTAACCCCTTCAGCTGACTACAAATTTGTGTTTGACGGTAATGATCACAGCTTAATCATTCTGTTCACCAAACTGGAGGATGAGGGAGAATATACATGTATTGCCAGTAATGAATATGGGCAGGCAATGTGTAGCGCATATCTGAAAATAAATCCTGACGCCAAGGGCCATGAAGAACCAGAATCGGCAGAGGAGAAGCCTCTGGAAAAGCTCCAAGGTCCTTGTCCTCCTTACTTCCTTGAGGAGTTAAAACCAGTGCACTGTGTGCAGGGCCTCCCTGCCATCTTTGAATACACGGTCCTCGGAGAGCCTGCACCCACTGTTCTGTGGTTCAAAGAAAACAAGCAACTTTGCACCAGTGTTTATTACACTGTCATTCATAATCCCGATGGTTCCGGGACATTCATCGTCAACGATCCTCAGAAAGAAGATGGCGGTCTCTATGTCTGCAAAGCGGAGAACGTGTGGGGTGAGTCCACCTCTGTAGCACAGCTGTCTGTGCTTCTGGAAGACACAGACATGACTGACGCCACGTGCAAAGCAGCGTCCGCACCAGAGGCTCCGGAAGGTTTTCCACACACATCGTTAAAGGACCCTGCCCTTGAGACGTTTGACTCAGAGCAGGAAGTTGTAGCTTTCGTAACAGATACCATTTTGAAAGCTGCTTTAATTGCAGAAGAAAAACAGCAGTTTTCTTATGAGCATGTGGTTAAAACCAATGAACTAAGCAGTCAAGTTACTTTAAAAGCTGAGCAACTGCAATCCACAGTCATGTTGGAACACGATATGCCTCCTCCTGAAAGCACCAGAGAACTTCTTTCTGTCAGTGGCACTACTCATGTCCAGCCTATCAAGGAACTACCTTCCAATTTACAGTTGCAGATTGCCCAGTCTCAGGACACCCTCCCCAGAGAAGATACTCTGATGTGTCAAGAGCCTGAGTCACAGGGAGTTCTATCAGATAGGGAAAAAATCTTCCCAAGTGCCACGTCCATAGAGGAAATTAGTTCGTCAACAGTTGAGTCTCTGCAGACTTTATTAGCTGAACCTGAAGAGCGCTATCCACAGTCATCAATAAAGGAAACAACAGCCCATTCATATCCGACCTCTGTGGCTGAGGAGGTACTTGTATCAAAAGACAAGACAGTGTCTGCAGTGGACAGAGGGCAGAGAGAGACTTCTCCAAAGCAAGAGTCACAAATTGCTCTCTTCCTGAATCAGAGCTTAGCTGAGGGACACGCCCAAAGTTTCCAGGATCCTGACATCGCAGTGTCCAGGGTCCCTTCTGAACACACGTGCACAGAAAGTGAAATTTTGATGGAAAGTGTGGATCAACTGGATAGTGTGGGGCAAGATTTTGCAGCCAGGGTTGAGGAAGGCAAGCCCTTACGGTTTCCATTAACATGTGAGGAAAAGCAGGTACTGCTCAAAGAAGAGCTTTCTGACACCTTGGCGTTGCCCCTGAACCAAACCGTGGAGTTTAAAAAGGAGCCTATGGCAGTAAATGGCGTGCAGGAGGTGCAGGGAAGTGATTTTCTTTCTAAGGAAAGTTTGCTTTCTGGTATTCCAGAAGAGCAGCGATTAAACCTGAAAACTCAGATCCGCAGTGCTTTGCAAGCAGCAGTGGCCAGCGAGCAACTGAGTCTTTTCTCTGAATGGTTAAGAAACATTGAACAGGTGGAGGTCAAGGCCATACACTCTACCCAAGAGCCCGACTGCATTATGTGCACCTATCTGATTACCTCAGTGAAATCTCTGACAGAAGAATTAACCATCACTATTAAAGGCGTTGATCCTCAAATGGCTGACTTGAAAACTGAACTGAAGGAGGCGTTGTGCTCTATATGTGAGGAAATGAACATTTTAACAGCTGAGGAGCCTGGAATTGAGAAAGGAGCCACAGTAGTCTTGCAGGAAGATGTTTCTTTTTCCAGCTCACAGAAGCTTGAAGCAATCACTGAACCAGAAGTTGAATCTAAGTATCTTATCTCGAAGGAAGAGATCAGTTATTTTAAGGTGGAGAGTCAGGTCAAAGTTGTGGGTACCACAACTGCTTCTGCTGCTGTTTCTGATGAAAAACAGGATGAGATACCAAAACCATCAGAGGAAAAAGGGAAAGTCTCTGAAGGTGGTACTGAGGAGGTTGGTACAGCAGAGATACAGGAAGCTGAGGCTGAGGAAGACAGGAAGCTCAGAGAGGATGGCCCTGATGTACAGACACCCTTGGTGGACACAATTGCCGAGGAAGGTGACATCATAAGCCTCACATCATCCATAACAAACGCCAAAGAGGTGAATTGGTATTTTGAGAGTAAACCGGTCCCTTCAGATGGAAAGTTCAAGTGTTTACAGGATCAAAATACATATACGCTAGTAATCGACAAAGTAAACAGAGAGGAGCATCAAGGGGAATATACGTGCGAGGCCTTGAATGACAGTGGAAAAGCAACAACTTCAGCAAAACTCACTGTAGTCAAAAGAGGTTGGATTTTTAAGGATTCAGTGGATCAAGCTCTAACATTCACTGGGTTGGAGTGACTTAGGTTTCATCACTGAATTTTCACTTACCTGCAATTGCCAGAATTTATTTAGAGTAAAAATGAAATCACAGACATAATCATGGTTATTAACTCTTCTCCTTTTCCCTTACTGCCTTACTGGGTGGTATGTTATAGTTATACTGCTATTTATTTTAAAAAAAATGTATTTCCATATATTTCATGAAACTGATAAATGTTTTCAGTCTATTTCTATATGAAAATACTTTAATGATATGTAATCAAAAGCTGTCAGTGAACACCTAGTTATCCTGAAATCATCAGTCTCATTCTTAAATTCAAAATAACCATGATTAATTGTCTATTTGTGTTTCTCATTTCGATTTCTTTTTTTTTTTGCTATTGTTTCACTGCATCACTTTATTTAGTAGATCATGTTTCTTTCACGTTATTCTGAGTATTCCTAGTCAGCATGGTATATTAAAAAAATATATTGTGTTGTTATGCATGTAAGCCAAAGCATCACATTTTTCACAGTTCACTGGAAAATAACAATTGAATATGTTGAAAGCTGCTCATTGTCTTCTTTTGCCTTCAGTGATCTTTCTCATTTTCCAGTCACTTGTCTTAAACTGCTGCAATCCATCTCACCAATTTGAACTGTTTTACTCCATTAACAGCAACAAAAGTTAGAAGGAAAAGAAAAATGTGAGGTGCCTAGTAAGGAGGCGTGCTAACATCCTCTGCTTCCCTTTGCAGCTGCTCCAGTGATCAGGAGGAGAATTGAGCCCCTGGAAGTAGCCCTGGGCCACCTCGCCAAATTCACCTGTGAGATCCACAGCGCCCCCAATGTCCGCTTCCAGTGGTTCAAAGCTGGACGAGAAATCTATGAAAGTGACAAGTGTTCTATTCGGTCTGCAAATTATGTCACCACCCTGGAAATCCTGAGAACCCAGGTTGTTGACTGTGGCGAGTACACCTGCAAAGCTTCCAACGAGTATGGAAGTGTCAGCTGCACGGCCACCCTGACTGTGACAGGTAAATGCCACACGCTGACACAGCTGTTGTCCCATTCCATACCGTTGCCTGTTTTCCTTTCATACAGGCGCAGGAAGTGTGTGTTCTACCACCTGGAGAGACCAGTAGCCAACATGGTAACGCAGTGGCTCCTGCAGAGCCTATGAGAGATGAGAAATTCTTGTTTACAGTCCTATTTCTGACAACAGCTAAAGGAAAAAAAATAACTTTTTATTTCAAGAGGATGTCAAGGAATCATACAAGTAGTGACTCCTGATAGTTTGGTTTGGGGTTTTATTTTGTTCTCTTTCTTTTCTTTAAATAGTCTGGCTTGCCCCTTAGTATAAAAAATTTTCAGGACACTTTGGTGCTGCTAAACAATAAATGATGTCCCAATATATTTAATAACTTGGAATCAATTAACCAATTAAGAACAGGAAAAAGCAGAACAGAAAAAAAAGACAGAGCATAAGACTAAAGTTAAATCCTAATAAGAGGTAGGGAGGTATTACAGGACTCCAAGCTTGGAGTTTCACCCTAGGCTTTATTACTAATTTAAAAATAAGAATAACTGCACAAATATTCTGTTCTTAGTTTTCTAATAACATACAGGATGACTGTCAAGTAGGTGACACTCAAGTCTTATTAGCAGAAAAGATTAGTAGCTCTTTCCTTTCTCTCCCTTCCTTCTCTCTCTGTCTTTCTTGCTTTCTCTCTGCCATGGGAAAATGTGACTTTGAGCTTATGAATTATGGTTTGGGATCAGGAGTAGCAATGACTTGTGTTGTTGACAGAATCCATGCACTAAATGTCAGGGTGGGCCTGTCCTTTGGTCTTCTTTTTCTTTTTGAAGTTTAGTTGACTTACCATATTACCTTGACCTTCTTCTCCAATGAGAGCATGGAGGGGAAAGACAAATGCAGCACATGTCATTGACTTGAAGAAGACGGGGTTACCTATAGCTTCCTCTCCTCCACAACTCTTCCATGTCGGAAACTCCACACCCCAGGCCCACAGTGACCCATTCAGTGGTTTTTGCTTTATGATCAAAGAATATCTATGCCACCAAGTGCATGGCATTATTCTTAATGACACTTCGAGAAATTTCTTTATCCAAAATAGGCCTGCTCAGTAATGGAACTAACACTTGAGCTTCAAGTCACAGAGGAAAGAAGAAAGAGGAGGATTTTGTTTAACTAGAAAGAGAGGTCCCTAAAGGCTTTCTTCCAAATGCAGAATGGACATAGAAAATTGCTGCTATATATATATATATATATATATATATATATTTACAAGTTTGAAATGGTTTAGCAGATGCATTTATAGTTGAAACATGAGGGTTAGACTTTACAAAACTATTCAGACTTTTTCTATCACTCACTTAATATCCCTGCTCTTCAGAAAAGTCAAGAACGTTTTCTTTATATTCCTTATACAGTCTTCTGATTTGCAGAATTAAAGTGCCAGTTGAATTGCTTATCAGATAGTTCAAACAATTAATCAGCTAATAAAATGGACAGATCTTTAGCAATTGTAAGTTAATGTTGTGAAATAAAAGAAGACCAAATTTTCTTTTATTTAAAGTGCTGTCTTGCTCCGCTATAAAAAAAATTCTCATCCCTTTCCTTTGATGCATCTTTTCATCTTCTTAATACATTACCCTACTTTAAATAATGTCTCATGTCTATCTAAAGCTATAACTCATCTCTTCTTTTTCTTGGAATATGTAATTATAACGGGAGCTTTGTGGGGACAAAATATAACACTGAAAACATTTCTCTTACAGAGGCATATCCACCAACCTTCTTCTCCAGACCTAAGTCCATAACGACTTTTGTGGGTAAGGCAGCCAAGTTTCTCTGCACAGTGACAGGCACGCCCGTGATTGAAACCATTTGGCAAAAAGATGGCATGGCCCTCTCACCTTCCCCTACCTGCAAGATTTCAGATGTAGACAACAAACACATTTTAGAGCTCTCAAATCTTACAGTTCATGATAGAGGAGTTTACTCCTGTAAGGCTTCTAACAAGTTTGGAGCCGACACCTGCCAAGCTGAGTTGGACATAATTGACAAACCACATTTCATTAAAGAACTGGAGCCTGTACAATCAGCTATCAATAAGAAGATCCACCTTGAGGGCCAAGTAGATGAAGACAGAAAAGTCACAATTACATGGAGCAAAAATGGGCAGAGACTCCCCCCTGGGAAAGATTATAAGATCTATTTTGAAGATAAAATAGCATCACTTGAGATCCCGCTGGCCAAACTCAAAGATTCGGGGACCTATGTTTGCACAGCTTCCAATGAGGCTGGAAGCAGCTCCACTTCCGCAACAGTAACTATCAGAGGTAAGAAGTGTGTGAACAATGTTTCACTCCCTTCTCTGCAGGGATGCCTCAGTAGGCAAATTGTTCACACACTGCAGTTGGCGCATTTTGTGATGAAAATGATTTCATCCCAGCAAATGTTTTGGTTTGGGGAAATCCTGAAATTGTTTGATTTTATTTTTTTAGTCTTTTCCAGCATTCACTTACTCTTGTTCGTTTCAAACTGTCTGTCATTAACATAGCTTGCTTAAAACTACTTCTAAGAACTTTGAGTGTCTGGGCAATCCTTAAATATCTTCTTTCATAAAGTTGCTCTTTGTCTAAGTAGAATTTGTTTAGCTTTGTTTTTGTTTGTTTATTTTTAAATCAAGAGTCTGGGAAAATGTTTTGGAATCATAGAAATGTGGAAAGCTATTAAGTACACCACAACCTGTTCAGGAGTTTCATGAAGATACTTTGTGTGTGTGTTGTGTGTCGTTTTATTGTGTGATGTCTGCTTGTGTGTGTGCGCTTTATGCTTCAGATATCTTTTCCTTTTCTCTCTTGTTAACTTCATATAGAGCCACCATCCTTTGTGAAGAAGGTGGATCCTTCTTACTTAATGCTCCCAGGTGAATCAGCACGCCTCCACTGCAAGCTGAAAGGCTCACCTGTGATCCAGGTTACTTGGTTTAAAAATAACAAAGAACTTACTGAGAGTAACACAATCAGAATGTCTTTTGTCAATTCTGAGGCTGTCCTTGATATTACGGATGTAAAAGTTGAAGACAGCGGGACTTACTCGTGTGAAGCAGTGAATGATGTTGGCAGTGACAGCTGCAGTGCTGAAATAGTTGTCAAAGGTTTGTTGACTTGATCATAGTCCATTGGTTTTTAAGAAAAGATTTTCTTTTTAACTGTTTGTAACACATAACTTATACAATACTTTCATGCTTTTGTAGAACCTCCTTCTTTCATCAAAACTCTTGAGCCTGCAGACATAGTGAGAGGAACAAATGCCCTCCTTCAGTGTGAAATCGCAGGCACTGGACCATTTGAAATTAGCTGGTTCAAGGATAAGAAGCAAATTCGAAGTAGTAAAAAGTACAGGTTGTTTTCTCAGAAGTCCACTGTGTCCCTGGAGATCTTTTCTTTTAATAGTGCAGACGTTGGTGACTATGAGTGTGTGGTTGCTAATGAAGTTGGGAAGTGTGGCTGTGTTGCAACCCACTTACTAAAAGGTTAGTGCTTGAAAAATTGATATCTCTTTAATAAATTGTCGAAATAGCTTTCTTAGCTCAAGGAAGTAAAACTGGTACACTCTCCCCTTCTCCTAATTTTTGAAAATACGTTTTGCCTTCAGTTTGACTTTGGACCCTGGGGACAATGCAGTCTTTATCTTGAGGCCTGTGTAAATATTGAGTCTCTGATGGTGGTGGTGGTTTAGTTGCTAGGTCGTATCCAACTCTTGCGACCCCATGGACTGTCGCCCACCAGGCTCCTCTGTCCATGGGATTTTCCAGGCAAGAATACTGGAGTGGGTGGCCATTTCCTTCTCCAGGAGATCTTGCGGACACAGGAATTGAACCCGGGTCTACAAAAGTGAATTATGCAATAAGCGATTTTGTCAGCTGATAAACATGTATCTTTGCATCTTCTTCTTGCATGGAATTGTAATACCTCTTAAATTGGATTTCTTTTTCTAATCAACCAACACTCTGGACTGGATAAATGTAATCAAGATAAAATTCTTGAATGCACATGGTGTCAAAGTGTTTGGGAATGATCAGTTTTATATGCTATCTTTCTTTAACTAGAACCACCAACCTTTGTAAAGAAAGTAGATGATTTTACTGCACTGGCGGGACAGACGGTTACCTTACAAGCTGCCGTGAGAGGGTCAGAACCCATTTCTGTCACATGGATGAAAGGACAGGAGATCATTAAAGAAGATGGAAAGATCAAAATGAGTTTTGCCAATGGTGTGGCAGTCTTGATCATCCCTGATGTGCAGATTAGTTTTGGTGACAAATACACATGCCTGGCTGAAAATGAAGCCGGAAGCCAAACGTCTGTTGGGGAATTAATAGTTAAAGGTTCGTGGAGGAACGTTTTGAATTGATATTTCCTTTAAAAATGAAACCTTAATCGACACTGCAGAATTCTAACTATTTAATACCATTGTAGAACCCGCTAAAATCATTGAGAGAGCAGAACTGATCCAAGTGACCGCAGGAGACCCAGCCACGCTGGAGTACACAGTCACAGGCACCCCAGAGCTCAAGCCAAAATGGTACAAAGATGGGAGACCTTTGGTCGCCAGTAAAAAGTATAGGATAAGTTTTAAAAACAATGTTGCCCAACTCAAATTTTATTCGGCTGAACTGCACGATAGCGGCCAGTACATGTTTGAGATTTCCAATGAAGTGGGCAGCAGCTCCTGTGAGACAACCTTCACTGTCTTAGGTTAGTATCCGTAGAAACCTGTGCCCCCATATTCCTTTGAAACCCAACTGACAAAACCCTAAAATCACTGCGCCCGTTTCTGCATTGTTCTTTCTTCCCTTGTGCCATGAACAGATCGAGACATTGCTCCATTCTTCACCAAACCCCTTCGCAACGTGGACAGTGTGGTTAGTGGCACCTGCAGGCTGGACTGCAAAATTGCTGGCTCCCTCCCCATGAGGGTGTCCTGGTATAAGGATGGTAAAGAAATAGCCTCCTCTGACAGATACAGAATAGCCTTTGTGGAAGGCACAGCCTCTTTGGAGATAAGCAGAGTAGACATGAGTGATGCCGGGAATTTCACCTGTCGAGCCACAAATTCTGTGGGAAGCAAAGACTGCAGTGGAGCCCTGATTGTGCAAGGTTGGCTGGAGACTGTGCCTTTCATTCTTATGTAAATGATGTTCAAATTAAGGTATCTTCCTTTCAATGGCACCTCTTAACTCTTTGAAATTCTTTCTTATACTCCTTTAGAACCACCCAGTTTTGTAACTAAACCTTCATCAAAGGATGTCCTGCCTGGCTTGGCTGTGTGCCTGAAGAGCACCTTCCAAGGGTCTACCCCTTTCACAATCAGATGGTTTAAGGGTGACAAAGAGCTGGTTTCTGGTGGAAGCTGCTATATCAACAAAGAAGCTTTAGAAAGTTCCCTGGAACTGTATGCAGTAAAAACCACCGATTCAGGCACATACACCTGTAAAGTCAGCAACGTGGCCGGAGCTGTGGAGTGCAGTGCAAACTTGTTTGTAAAAGGTTTGCAGAATTGCCTTGACATCTTTGAGCTACCATTGTTAGTTCTTGCCTCTTTCTCACATCTCTGAATGACTTCCTTCCACAGAACCTGCCACATTTGTCGAAAGGTTAGAACCGTCCCAGCTGTTAAAGAAGGGAGACACCACCCAGCTTGCCTGCAAAGTCACGGGCACCCCTCCAATTAAAATAACGTGGTTTGCAAATGATAGAGAAATTAAGGAGAGCAGCAAACATAAAATGTCTTTTGTGGAGTCCACTGCGGTTCTAAGACTTACAGATATTGCTGTCGAAGACAGTGGTGAATATATGTGTGAGGCTCAAAATGAGGCTGGCAGTGACCACTGCGGTAGCATTCTGATAGTCAAAGGTTTGTGTCCACATTGTCCCTTGTGTTACCAAAGTTATGGCCCGGGGCACAGACTCCACTCCCATTAACTCAAAATAATTCCTTTCCACTGTAGAGTCACCTTACTTTACCAAGGAATTTAAGCCCATTGAAGTGTTGAAGGAATATGACGTCATGTTGCTGGCTGAGGTGGCAGGCACGCCTCCCTTTGAGATCACTTGGTTCAAAGACAACACCACACTGCGAAGTGGCAGGAAGTATAAGACCTTCATTCAGGATCAGCTGGTTAGCCTGCAGATCCTCAAGTTTGTAGCTGCGGACGCGGGTGAATACCAGTGTCGGGTCACCAATGAGGTGGGCAGCACCACCTGCAGTGCCAGGGTGACTTTAAGAGGTTAGTGTCAGTGCTAATGACTGACTGGCTTTTCTTTGGAGTCGATGCTTTTTTGTTAAGCTGGTTTTGCTCTAGAGTCAGTATTGATGGAGAATTCATTCATCCACTAGAACCCCCAACCTTTGTAAAGAAGATCGAAAGCACCAGCTCCCTCAGAGGAGGCACCGCTGCCTTCCAGGCCGTGCTGAAGGGCTCCCTGCCCATCACGGTGACTTGGCTAAAAGACAACGAGGAGATCACTGAAGATGATCACATAAGAATGACCTTTGAGAACAATGTGGCAAGTCTGTACCTCAGTGGCATTGAAGTCAAGCACGATGGGAAATATGTTTGCCAGGCCAAAAATGATGCAGGAATACAAAGGTGTTCCGCAGTACTCTCAGTAAAAGGTTGGTTCAGAAAGCTCACTGTGGGTTCTAGGGAAAAAATGCAGATGTAAGCCTTTAAGCAGAGCCATTCACAACCCACACCTATCCCTTTGTTTTCCATAGAACCTGCAACAATCATTGAGGAGGCTGTGTCTATAGATGTCACCCATGGAGACCCTGCCACTTTGCAGGTTAAATTTTCAGGGACTAAGGAGATTACAGCCAAATGGTTTAAAGATGGCCAAGAACTGACCCTGGGCCAAAAATATAAAATCAGTGTCACTGACACTGTCTCTATACTGAAGATTATTTCTACAGAAAAGAGAGATAGTGGTGAATATACTTTTGAAGTCCAAAATGATGTCGGGAGGAGCAGCTGCAAGGCTAGCATTAATGTCTTAGGTTGGTACAGCTTTTCTATGGCGAGGAACTGGGCATTTCTATGCTCTTTATCTCTTTCACTTTTAGAAAAAAAGTATAAATCAGTAGATTGACTGGTTTTTTTTTTTTGCTTTTTCATTGCATAGATCTTATCATACCTCCATCATTCACCAAAAAGCTGAAGAAAATGGACAGTATTAAAGGGTCTTCCATTGACTTAGAATGTATAGTGGCTGGGTCACACCCCATAAGCATCCAGTGGTTCAAAGATGACCAAGAAATAACAGCTAGTGAAAAATACAAGTTCTCTTTTCATGACAATACTGCCTTCTTGGAAATCAGTCAGCTGGAAGGTTCAGACAGTGGCACCTACACTTGTTCTGCCACTAACAAGGCGGGACACAACCAGTGCAGTGGCCATCTGACAGTCAAAGGTTGGCAAATTTTGTCTCTGCCTCTCAAGAACTTACTGCTCTCTTTTCTTAATTCTTTCCTTGACTGATTAGTTCTAAAATAAACCTTCCTTTCCCCTTTTGCTTCTTCTTTCACCCCAGAACCCCCTTACTTCCTGGAAAAGCCACAGTCACAAGATGTCAATCCCAATACAAGGGTTCAATTAAAGGCACTTGTGGGTGGCACTACACCCATGACAATAAAGTGGTTTAAAGATAACAAAGAGTTGCACTCCGGAGCGGCTCGCTCAGTCTGGAAGGATGACACCTCCACCATCCTGGAGCTCTTTTCAGCCAAAGCTGCTGATTCGGGGACCTACATTTGCCAACTGAGCAATGATGTTGGCACAGCAACCACTAAAGCCACTCTCTTTGTGAAAGGTCTGGTCTCTTTATCTTCTCACTGTCTTGCTTGCCTAGATTTTCTTCAGGGGAGAGGGTTTGAGAAAACAGTTTTGCTCATTGGTCTTTAATATAAAAAATGTTCAACATCACATGTTTCCCCCCATCTTTAGAACCTCCTCAATTCATTAAGAAGCCCAGCCCGGTGCTAGTGCTGAGGAATGGACAGTCCACGACATTTGAATGCCAGATAACAGGCACTCCTGAAATCAGAGTTTCTTGGTATCTGGACGGGAATGAAATAACAGCTGTTCAGAAACATGGCATTTCCTTCATTGATGGTTTAGCCACTTTCCAGATATCTGGGGCCAGGGTGGAAAATAGTGGGACTTACGTCTGTGAAGCTCAAAATGATGCAGGCACTGCAAGCTGCAGCATTGAGTTAAAAGTGAAAGGTGTGTTACTGCTTCTCTTTTCCATTCTGGCTATGCTCCTGGCTGGTCCTTGGGTCTTTCCTGGAGTAAGCTATTCTCTGTCTCCCTTTTGAATCTTTAGAACCTCCCACCTTTATCAGGGAGCTGAAACCTGTGGAGGTAGTCAAAGATAGTGATGTGGAGCTGGAGTGTGAAGTTATGGGAACATCTCCATTCCAAGTCACTTGGCTGAGGAATAACAAGGAAATTCGGAGCAGCAAAAAATACACCCTGACTGACAGAGTGTCAGTGTTTAATCTCAACATAAACAGATGTGACCCTTCAGACACTGGTGACTACCAGTGCATCGTATCCAATGAAGGCGGCAGCTGCTCTTGCAGCGCTCGAGTCTCTCTGAAAGGTCAGTTGGATGCAAGGGAGCTGGCTGCCCAATACAAATTCTGTAATGTTTTCATCTTGTGATGATGGGTAGGAGTTCAGATATATCTCCTCTTCTCATACTGTCTACTTTAATCACAGAGCCACCCTCGTTCATAAAGAAGATAGAAAACATCACTACTGTTTTGAAAAGTTCTGCCACCTTTCAGAGCACTGTGGCGGGCTCACCTCCCATTTCTGTCACCTGGCTCAAGGATGATCAGATTCTGGATGAAGATGATAATGTTCACATGTCCTTTGTGAACAACGTGGCCACACTTCAAATTAGATCTGTGGATAATGGACACAGTGGGAGGTACACATGTCAAGCCAAGAACGAGTCAGGAGTTGAGAGGTGTTATGCTTTCCTTTTAGTACAAGGTGTGTAAGCTAGCCCCTTGCAGAGTTATTCTGTGGAGACAATTTCACAAGCGATACCTTTTTTCCTTGGAATTATGAGTGCAGCTCATCCATGTTTTCATTCTTACTACAGAACCCGCTCAGATCATAGAGAAAGCTAAATCTGTCGATGTAACTGAGAAAGACCCAGTGACCTTGGAGTGTGTTGTGGCCGGAACGCCAGAACTCAAAGTCAAGTGGCTTAAAGATGGGAAACAGATTGTGCCTAGTAGATATTTTTCGATGAGTTTTGAAAACAACGTGGCCAGCTTTAGGATTCAGTCAGTAATGAAGCAAGACAGCGGCGAGTACACTTTCAAGGTGGAAAATGACTTTGGAAGCAGTAGCTGTGATGCCTACCTGAGAGTACTAGGTTTGTACTCTGGGCCCCAGTCAACTTCCCTTATGTATATTATGGCCTTGGTAAACAAGTGGCAACATTTAATGGATGTGTTTTATTATTTGCATTGGACAGATCAAGATATTCCTCCATCATTCACCAAAAAGTTAACCAAAATGGATAAAGTTCTAGGCTCTTCCATTCATATGGAGTGCAAAGTTTCTGGCTCACTTCCTATTAGTGCTCAGTGGTTTAAGGATGGAAAAGAAATATCTACAAGTGCAAAATACAGACTTGTCTGTCATGAGAACACGGTATCACTGGATGTTAACAATCTGGAATTAGAAGACACTGCAAATTACACATGCCGAGTATCAAACGTAGCAGGGGATGCGGCATGCAGTGGCATCTTGACTGTAAAAGGTTAGAATTTCTTAACCTCTTCCTGGCTCTTCTCTCTGGTTGCTTTTAAATGTAACACTCTTTCCTGGTGTCCTTTAAAACTTAAAATCTCCATAATTCTGTTTCTTGAGATACATCTATGTTGAGTTGAAGAAATATTCAGTCATTACCTCTTTTCAGTAATGTTTTCTTACATGTCCTTAAAACTGTTGAAATAATCCAACTACAAGGCATTTAATCATATGCATTTCTCTTAAAATCTGTAGAACCTCCAAGCTTCCTAGTGAAACCTGAGCGACAACAAGCCATACCTGACTCTACGGTGGAATTTAAAGCTGTGCTAAAAGGAACACCACCATTTAAAATCAAGTGGTTTAAGGATGATGTGGAACTTGCCTCTGGACCTAAATGTTTCATTGGCTTGGAAGGGTCAACTAGCTTCTTAAATCTGTACTCAGTGGATGCTTCCAAGACTGGACAGTATACTTGCCAAGTTACCAATGACGTTGGTAGCGACTCTTGTACCACAGTGTTGCTTGTGACAGGTGTGCAAGTTTGATTGTTTTATGTTTCTGTCTGACCTGTGGCTCTGGTCCTTTCTCTAATCTTTTACAATTCATCTACCCAGTCAAGAAAATACCCTTCTATTTGCCAGGCATTGTTCATGTTTCATGTTTTTCTCTTGTACTACATAACTGAATTTTTGTTGTTTATATCTGTTATGTTCCCTCATAATCTCCTCTTTTCTTCACTCTCTAGAACCACCAAAGTTTGTAAAGAAACTAGAAGCGACCAAAATAGTGAGAGCAGGTGACTCAGCACGACTTGAATGCAAAATAACTGGATCCCCAGACATCAGAGTTGTGTGGTACAGAAATGAGCATGAACTCCCAGCCAGTGAGAAATACAGAATGGCTTTCATTGACTCGGTGGCCGTCTTACAGATGAATAATCTTGGTACTGAAGACACTAGTGATTTCATTTGTGAGGCTCAGAATCTTGCTGGCAGCACAAGCTGTAGTACCAAGGTTATTGTAAAAGGTAGAAACCTCTTTCTTCTCTTCCTCATTACCTGAAGCCCGCCTCCTTCTCCTCTGGGTATCAGAGATCTTCATTGTTTTAGTGTCATTTTTAGCTTCCCTGTGAGATCACAGGACATTTCCCCAAATAGTATTATTTCTGTTTTTGGATGTTTTTCTTAAGACTTGTTTACATATAGATAATCATTCTGAGATATTTTTCTTGTTATGCCAATGCCATAATTCTAATCACCTCAGCATATTAGCCAAGCAGTTCAAATTTGATGTTTCAAAACACTCTAAAAAGGAAGGCATTTTAAAATTAACTTTTGCCTTCAGTCAGCTTACAAATATATCATCATCCTCAGCATGATATTTATCTTTTATTTAAAACAAAGACTATTTACCACATATATCCCAAGATTCAAGCAATAGAGGTTTTAACCTTACATTTAAAACAGGACAGTTATATATATATTTTCTGTCTCCAAAACTAGTTCCTAGTTTTTAAAATAAGGTCACTATACCTTGTTGTCAGTAGTACTAGTATTTTCCAGAATTTTTGTCACAGAATCTTAAGTTTGTCGTATTGTGAGGCAATTATTGCAAAAACCGCCTTTTTTTGTGGAAGACTTAGAGCACAGATGTTGCGATAACTTCCAAGTATCCCAACGGTAAAGCACATACAAAAAAATTTCATCTCTGAAGTCAGGAGCCCATACCTCATGCAGATCATATTAATCCTTACACTTGGGTTTGGAGGTTTGTTTGGTTTTTGTTTTGCTTTACAATTTCACATCAATCTTTACTAAATTAGTAAAGTGGCATAGACAGAATGTTGAGCTGCTCAGTAGGGTTGCCTGGGGTCTAGTCTGGGTCCTCAGTCAGTGAAGCCAAGTGATTCTGTAAAGGCCCTATTGCTTCTCTGAAGCTATTATTCTTCCACACTAAAGTGATAGTGCCAGACCTGTGTTAGTATTTTAACTCTTTCTTCCAATTTTTAAACAAAGAAAAACATTATATGAGTTAAGTAGCCCAGTTCATGAGGAATTCTTGTTTTTTACAGAACCACCTGTTTTTAGCAGCTTCCCTCCTGTGGTAGAAACTCTTAAAAATGCTGAAGTTAGTATTGAATGTGAACTTTCGGGAACACCACCATTTGAGGTGGTTTGGTACAAAGATAAGCGACAACTCCGAAGCAGCAAGAAATATAAGATTGCGTCCAAAAATTTCCATGCAAGTATTCACATTCTCAATGTTGACACTTCAGACATTGGTGAATACCACTGCAAAGCACAGAACGAAGTGGGTAGTGATACATGCATTTGTACTGTAAAACTAAAAGGTAAGCATTATTTCCTGCATGTGGCAGAAATGGCAGGAACATGCAAAATGGTTATTTGTTTTCTCTTTTTCATTATCTGGACAATCTTTCCAACAATCTCCATCCATCTTTCCCTGTTCAGAACCACCAAGATTTGTCTCCAAGCTGAACAGCCTCACTGTTGTAGCTGGTGAGCCTGCTGAGTTACAAGCATCCATAGAAGGCACCCAGCCTATTTATGTCCAGTGGCTTAAAGAGAAGGAAGAAGTGGTTAGAGAAAGTGAAAACATAAGAATTACATTTGTGGAAAATGTTGCCACTCTGCAGTTTTCAAAAGCAGAACCAGCTGATGCTGGGAAGTATATCTGCCAAATCAAGAATGACGGTGGGATGAGGGAGAACATGGCCACGTTGACTGTTTTAGGTTGGTACAATGTGGTGCAGTAGTTCTCTGGTATAAGGAGGTGCCAGACACTGAGATGACTTACTAAGAGATAGTGGTAGAATTTCCTTTTTTTAATTTCTAGAACTATATAGATCCTCACCTATTTCAAAGGTTTATGGAAAAGGACCTTTCAAACACTCTTCTGTGTCTGTGATCCTAACAAAAATTAACCATTTTTATTGTTTTCTTGATGAATTAGCAGAGAAAATCATGACTGTCTTTTGTTTAACCATGAAAAAAATGAGAGTCCAACATATGCTACAAGGAGACTTTTTTTCTCTCAAGTATTAGTGTTTAAGCTGACAAAAACTCCAAAGATCAAAGTTTGATAAGAATGACTTGCACTTTCATCTTTGGGCATATTCATTTTTAATTTTGCAGTTGTTTGAATAACAACTTTCAAAAAACTGTCTGTAGCACCTTAAAGTATAACAACAATACTGAGCAATTCATAGCAACATGTGGGCTTTGTTCTAGAGAGGGTCAAGTACAAATCAATATATGACATTGAATTATTTCAGAAGTTGAATAATGCAAAAGCATATTTCTTAATAATTCCTATAATTTCATGACAGCATGTAATTATGGAATCTCATTTTAAGGTCTAGAGAAAGAGGGCCTAAAAATATCCATATAATTGGAAGAAACAGTGTTAATGAATTTAATAGCAGAGACAAGGTGGAGCTAACAGGCTTTAACAGATGGCCATCACGTTTTATTTCAGAACCTGCGGTCATTGTCGAGAAAGCAGGTTCGATGACGGTGACTGTGGGAGAAACGTGCTCTCTGGAGTGTAAGGTGGCTGGCACTCCCGAACTCTCAGTCGAATGGTACAAGGATGGAAAGCTGTTGACCAGCAGCCAAAAACACAAATTTAGCTTCTACAACAAAATCTCTTCCTTAAAGATTCTCTCTGTTGAAAAGCAGGACGCGGGCACATACACTTTCCAGGTTCAAAATAATGTTGGAAAAAGCAGCTGCACAGCAGTGGTGGATGTTTCAGGTTAGTTGAGACGTGTTCTCCCCATTGCTTCAGCAGATTCCCTTCACAAGCTTTCTTCCCTCGAGTCTCTTCTGTTCTTGCAAACCGCAAGTCTCTTGCCTCTTGTCATGCAGACCGAATGGTTCCTCCGTCTTTCACACGAAGACTGAAAGATACCATTGGAGTGCTGGGTACATCTTGCATCTTGGAGTGCAAAGTAGCCGGGTCATCACCAATCTCTGTTGCCTGGTTTCATGAGAAAACCAAGATTGTCAGTGGAGCGAAGTACCAGACTACATTTTCAGATAACATCTGCACGTTGCAGCTCAATTCTCTGGACTCATCAGATATGGGCAGTTACACGTGTGTGGCTGCTAATGTCGCTGGGTCTGATGAGTGCCGTGCAGTGTTGGCTGTACAAGGTCAGTGTCAGACACTCGCATCCTTTCTTACAAGTTCTTCTTTGGGTGTCCATCCCTGCTGACACATTCAAAAGGCGTCTTCTTTTTGATAAAAATCGCAAGTAAATCTGAAACTTACAGGATCTTTTCATTGTCCTCCTTGCTTGTATAGAACCACCCTCTTTCGTGAAGGAACCTGAACCTTTGGAAGTACTACCAGGCAAAAACATCACCTTCACAAGTGTTATTAGAGGAACCCCTCCATTTAAGGTTGGCTGGTTCAGAGGTGCCAGAGAACTGGTGAGAGGAGACAGGTGCAACATCTATTTTGAAGACACTGTGGCAGAACTGGAATTATTTAATGTCGACATCTCTCAGAGTGGGGAATACACCTGTGTGGTTTCTAACAACGCTGGCCAAACATCCTGTATTACCCATCTCTTTGTAAAAGGTTTGCTCCAGTGCATTGTGCTTTCTGCTTTTTAAGTGGCATCTTTGTTCATTTTTTACTGTGTTTAATGGCTATGCTTTGTCACTCCCCAGAACCAGCTGTGTTTGTGAAGAAACTGAGTGATCACTCTGTAGAACCAGGGAAATCCATCATTTTGGAAAGTACCTACATGGGAACACTCCCCATTTCAGTTACATGGAAAAAGGATGGTTTCAACATAACACCCTCTGAAAAATGCAACATAGTCACAACAGAGAAGACCTGCATCCTGGAAATTCTGAACAGCACAAAAAGAGATGCAGGACAGTATTCCTGCGAGATTGAAAATGAGGCGGGAAGGGATGTTTGCGAAGCTCTGGTGTCTACATTAGGTGTGTTTCTTATTCTCAAATGATTGGCATTTGTCTAGCGTGAGGCATGGTTTGTGTGGTTTTCTTTAATCCCAGTTGCTGATCGTGAACCTTTCTTCTTTAGAACCGCCTTATTTTGTTACGGAACTGGAGCCTCTGGAGGCATCAGTGGGAGATTCGGTTTCTTTACAATGCCAAGTTGCTGGGACCCCAGAAATTACAGTGTCTTGGTACAAAGGTGATACCAAGTTACGGCCGACTCCTGAATACAGGACTTATTTTACAAACAATGTGGCCACACTTGTTTTTAACAAAGTGAACATCAATGACAGTGGAGAGTACACATGTAAAGCAGAAAACAGCATAGGAACTGCCTCTTCTAAGACTGTCTTCAGAATTCAAGGTGATGCTTTTGTTTTACAAATTAAGGAATTTCTTCTTCCTTATCTTCACACTTACCTTTATGGGGAAAATTTTGTTTCACCTACTAATGCCTCAAGTATTACTTGTCTTCCTACAGAGCGCCAGCTCCCACCTTCCTTTGCAAGACAATTAAAGGACATTGAACAAACTGTTGGGTTACCAGTTACCCTCACTTGTCGATTGAATGGCTCTGCACCCATCCAAGTGAGCTGGTACAGAGATGGGGTACTTTTACGAGATGATGAAAATCTACAGACATCGTTTGTAGATAATGTGGCAACTTTAAAAATTTTGCAAACAGACTTGAGTCACTCTGGCCAGTACTCTTGTTCAGCTTCTAATCCACTTGGGACAGCATCTTCCAGTGCTAGACTGACAGCGAGAGGTTTGTTCCCATGTTACTCTTTTCTCTTTGCAAACCATGACTTCCTGTTCATTGTCAAAGTAGAAATAGCCAATAAAGAACAACAGCAAAAAGCATGTTGATTTTTCTTCTCATCTTCCAGAGCCTAAGAAATCGCCCTTCTTTGACATCAAGCCTGTATCTATAGATGTTATTGCTGGGGAAAGTGCTGACTTTGAGTGTCATGTTACTGGTGCTCAACCAATGCGAATTACTTGGTCAAAAGATAACAAGGAGATCCGTCCTGGAGGAAACTACACAATTACATGTGTGGGAAACACTCCCCATTTGAGAATTCTTAAAGTAGGCAAAGGAGACTCTGGTCAATATACTTGCCAAGCAACCAACGATGTTGGCAAAGACATGTGCTCTGCTCAACTCAGTGTAAAAGGTATCTCTACATGGCACTGACCAATACTTGTCTCTCCCATGTTGTACAATTTTCTTCAGAAAGGTTTCTTTACTTTTTAAATGTTTGGGATTAACTAACTAGATCATATTAGAATTTGTATATTAGTGTTGGAGGCAACATTAATCAAAGTTCTATTTTCCTTTTTATTTTGTTTTTTAAATTAGTGTATCTCTAACTATAATCCTATCAGAGTGTTGTTTATGTGAAATTTGTTAAATGTCATTTCATCTCTTTTTCACTCTTTCCTGTTATATGGCATTCTGAATTATCATTTTGATCAAATACTTCTATAATACATTAACTTACATGTTTTAGTTCCTATATCCAAACTACAAGATTAACTTGTCAATTAAGTTCTCTATTAAAAATAGTAAAAGTTTATTTAACAGAAAAAAATGTATATTTTTTCATGAAATTCTCAGAAAGTACATATATTCTTAATAATAAACAAGATTAAATTAGGTATTTATAAAATCTTAAGCTACAAACATAAGCTCTTTCTTCCTCTGACTTACTAGAACCTCCAAAGTTTGTTAAGAAATTAGAAGCTTCAAAAGTTGCAAAGCAGGGAGAATCCATCCACCTGGAATGCAAAATAAGTGGTTCTCCAGAAATCAAAGTTACATGGTTTCGAAATGACAGTGAACTTCATGAGAGCTGGAAGTACAACATGTCCTTTGTGGACTCTCTGGCACTGCTCACCATCAATGAAGCCAGCACAGGGGACAGCGGGGACTACATCTGTGAAGCCCATAACGGTGTCGGGGACGCCAGCTGCAGCACAGCCCTGACCGTCAAAGGTTAGATACACCAAGTCCCTTGCTTTCTTCCTTCTCCTCTGATCTGGATTCTTTCTCAGCAGTGTTCTGAGCTCCAAAACAAAAAGGCTAGTGAAGGGGGTTTCCTTGCGGTTCTTAAACTAGCTTTTATGACTTGTCATTTCTTATGTTAGCTTACTGTCATACAGTCACACCAGGCACTGAGTGCTTTAGACTCTTAACATAGTTTTCCCTTTTCTTAGGCAAATGCTCTCATTGTCTATCTTCTTTTCTTCTGGTAGCACCTCCTGTTTTCACCCAGAAGCCTTCTCCAATAGGAGCCCTTAAAGGTTCTGATGTTGTCCTCCAATGTGAAATTTCGGGAACTCCCCCTTTTGAAGTGGTGTGGGTTAAAGATCGCAAGCAAGTTCGAAGCAGCAAGAAGTTTAAAATCACCTCGAAAAATTTTGATGCAAGTCTTCATATCCTTAACCTGGATACCGCCGATGTAGGAGAATATCACTGCAAAGCTACTAATGAGGTGGGAAGTGACACGTGTGTTTGCACTGTCAAATTCAAAGGTTTGTATCCATGGGCCCAAAAACATATGCTTCTTGCTTTCATCTTTTCTTGCTTGACCAATAATGTATTTGGCTGTGATACTCATCTTTCTTCTCTAACCTCAAATTTCTTTCATTAGAACCCCCACGATTTGTGAAAAAGCTCAGTGACACCTCAACCCTTGTTGGGCATGCTGTTGAGTTGCAGGCTGTAGTGGAAGGCTTCCAGCCCATATCTGTTGTCTGGCTGAAAGATAAAGGTGAAGTCATCAGAGAGAGTGAAAACACTAGGATTTCATTTGTTGACAATGTTGCAACCCTCCAACTTGGGAGCCCAGAGGCATCTAACTCTGGAAAATACGTGTGTCAAATCAAAAACGATGCTGGAATGAGAGAGTGTTCGGCAGTCTTGACTGTCCTAGGTTAGTAACAGAGTGAAGCCTGAGGGGAAAAATGTCTATTTGATTGATCTATGACATCGCCTGCAAATATTATTCTTACCCAATAATATACTGAGTATACTCTGCATTTGAAAGACGACTTTGTGTTCAATGTAATATGCTTCTTCTTTTAGAACCAGCCAGAATCATTGAGAAACCAGAACCCATGACTGTCACTACTGGAAATCCTTTCGCATTAGAATGTGTAGTGACTGGAACACCAGAACTTTCAGCCAAGTGGTTCAAAGATGGGAGAGAAATAGCTGCAGACAGCAAACATCACATCACATTCGTCAACAAAGTGGCTTCACTTAAAATCCCTTGTGCAGAAATGAGTGACAAGGGGTTATATAGCTTTGAAGTGAAGAACAGTGTTGGTAAAAGTAACTGCACTGTTTCTGTCCATGTTTCCGGTGAGTAGTATGAGGTTTTCATGAACATATCATTTTCCCTGGGGGGGGAAAATGAAGCTTCTCTTTCAATGGAAAACTACGCTTCTCCATCCACACAGATCGGGTTGTGGCTCCTTCCTTCATCCGCAAGCTGAAGGACGTCAACGCCATCATCGGGGCCTCCGTGGTTTTGGAGTGCAGAGTCTCCGGCTCCGCCCCCATCTCCGTGGGCTGGTTTCAGGATGGCAGTGAGATCGTCAGTGGGCCTAAATGCCAGTCGAGCTTTTCAGAAAATGTTTGCACTTTGAACCTGAGCGTCTTGGAGCCCTCTGACACAGGCACCTACACATGCGTGGCCGCCAACGTGGCTGGGTCCGATGAATGCTCAGCGGTCCTGACTGTCCAAGGTCAGTGTCCAGGGACCAGACCGCTGCTTCTCCAGTGCCTCCACTGCATGACTTCGTGCCTGCCTTGTGGGGGATTTCTGTATTTTGTCTTCGTGCGTAGTCTTAGTTCCCTTTTCTTCAAGTAGCAAAAAGCCCTGCTCACTTGGGTTCCTTTTTTCTCTTGATCTGCCCCCTCCCCTGGGGTATCTAGAACCACCTTCTTTTGAACAAACCCCTGACTCTGTGGAAGTGCTCCCTGGAACGAGCCTCACATTCACCAGTGTCATCAGAGGCACCCCGCCTTTCAAGGTCAAATGGTTTAAAGGCAGCAAGGAGCTGGTGTCCGGGGAATCATGCAGCATCTCTCTGGAAGATTTTGTCACGGAACTGGAGTTATTTGAGGTGGAGCCATTGCAAAGCGGGGACTACTCCTGCCTCGTGTCTAACGATGCTGGCAGTGCTTCCTGTAGCACACATCTTTTTGTGAAAGGTTTGCTCTTTCCTCCTAAAGCATGTCTCTTTAACATTGTTTCTGACTCTTTACTTGAAGATGTCAATTCTGCTTCCGTGTTTTCTCCTCATAGAACCGGCCACCTTTGTGAAAAGACTGGCCGATTTCAGTGTCGAGACAGGAAACCCCATCGTTCTTGAGGCCACGTTTACGGGTACACCTCCCATCTCGGTGAGCTGGATGAAGAATGAGTACCTCCTTACACAGTCTCAGAATTGCAGTATTACCATGACAGAGAAATCTACCATCCTGGAGATCGTCGACAGCACGATAGAGGATTACGCGCAGTACAGTTGCCTAATAGAAAATGAGGCTGGTCAAGATATTTGCGATGCTGTGGTGTCTGTCTTAGGTGTGTTGACAGTTACCTCTTCCTATTGCTCTCTTTTTTTTCTTTCAAAATGTCCTCTTTCAGTTAGGGTGACTGATGGATTATCATCCTTTCTACCTCAGAACCACCTTATTTCATTGAGCCTCTGGAACACGTGGAAGCAGTCATTGGAGAACCTATAACTTTACAGTGTAAAGTGGATGGAACCCCGGAAATTAGAATTTCTTGGTATAAAGAACACACAAAGCTACGATCAGCTCCTGCATATAAAATGCAGTTCAAAAATAACGTTGCCTCCCTGGTGATCAACAAAGTGGATCACAGTGACGTGGGAGAATATACCTGCAAGGCAGAAAACATTGTGGGAGCAGTGGCTTCTTCATCTGTGCTTGTTATCAAAGGTGATGATGGTTTTCTCTACAAGTCTTGCTGTGTGTTGACAGATCCATTTTCTTAAAAACATCACAATGTGAATGGATTGAAATATGCCGTGGTTGTTTCCTCTCTTGTAAATAAGGATTGTCTATAACTTCTTTACAGAGCGCAAACTTCCACCTTCCTTTGCAAGAAAACTGAAGGATGTTCAGGAGACTCTTGGCTTCCCAGTTGCATTTGAATGTCGCATCAATGGCTCAGAACCTCTCCAAGTGTCTTGGTACAAGGATGGGGTACTTTTGAGAGATGATGCTAATCTGCAAACATCTTTTGTTCACAATGTAGCAACTCTCCAGATTTTGCAGACTGACCAGAGCCACGTCGGTCAGTACAATTGCTCGGCTTCTAATCCCCTTGGGACTGCTTCATCCAGTGCGAAGCTCATCCTCTTAGGTGAGTAACTCATCACATTACCTCTTCATTATAAAGCAGTTTCCCTGCACCCAACCACCAAGGACTGGACCACTTAGTTTCTGCTCCACGTCTGGGAGCATCAAAACTGAAGTCACCGTGTTGCTCTTCATTCTTTCCAGAGCACGAAGTACCTCCTTTCTTTGATCTCAAGCCTGTGTCAGTAGATCTGGCTCTTGGAGAAAGTGGTTCTTTTAAATGTCATGTAACTGGAACTGCACCAATCAAAATCACTTGGGCTAAAGACAACCGAGAGATTCGTCCTGGAGGCAACTACAAGATGACTTTGGTTGAAAATACTGCCACGCTGACGGTTCTCAAAATAGGCAAAGGCGATGCTGGGCAGTACACCTGCTATGCAAGCAATGTCGCTGGAAAAGACTCTTGTTCTGCTCATCTGGGTGTACAAGGTACTTGTTGGAGTGAAGTAGCGAGGGCTCATTTCAACTTCTGACACTATAAGAGGAAGTGTGTACTTGAAAGATGTGTTTAGGACTAGGATTTGGGAATTGGAAGTGATTCAGCAAATCCAGGGTCTTCCAAATGGGAGCAAGTTTTTAATTAAAAAATGTATATATATATAAAACTGGTCAAACATGGACTAAGGGTCCATTTTCAATGGCTGAAAATGGAGACTAGCGAGAGAACAGGAACTTTTCACAGAATTGTAAGATAATCCAAGTTTGAAAGAAACTATCTTAGGACAATAAAAGGAAGTTGTCTTGAATGATATATTTTCCACAGTAGTTTGTAAATTAATGGTTTTGTTCCTCACCTCAAACTGTAAAGCCCTTCAAGAAGAGTCAGATTGTGTCAAATTCTTCTCTTCTGCTAGCCTCACTTAAATAATAGTGGAAGTCAGGGGACTGGAGAGTACATTAATATCTTACATCATGGAAGGCAACCATGTCTCAATGTAGCAAGAACAGTTCCTGTCTGCTGTGGTCAGAAATTAACTCAATGAGCTGCCGCTCTAACTCATGAGAGCATTTTTAAAGACTTTTTGTGGTGATAGTTTATAAATAACTTGAAATTAAAATAGAGTTAGTTTCAGCAGCCCATGTGCCCTGTGACATATTGCTAATTATTTTATCTCCCTAAACTTGAATTTTCTGATTCAGCTAATGAAGAAAGTGTTGCTCTCCCCACTTCAAAAGGATATCATAGAGGTTGAAGAAATTTCTATTAAAGTCCTATAGAAGAAAATAGCGTTAAAATATTAAGATATCTGACCCAAGTTTGCTACTCTGACTCTTCCTGGCACATAACTGATATCTCTGCAGTCATAGGAAATAGACCTATACTGGTTCACATACAAGAAAGTAATCAAATGCTCTTAATCCCTGTAAACCATAGAGTGCTTTCACCAACAGATACACACTCTGCCTCTGATCTTGCACAAAGAAGTGATTGTTTTGCTGGTGGGGGATTGCACAAGGATTAATGTCTCTTCTTCCTTCCATTTGCAATAATATTTGATGGGGGTGCTTACAAAAATAAATGCATTTTACTTGAGGATTTAGATTTCACTTAACCTATTCTTTCTTGAACTGTAGCAAATAAATATGTTTTCCAGAGCTAAAGACCTCTCTGTTTGACTTTTCACTTCATCCTGAATTACACATGTCTCTCCCATCTCTTCCCTTGTGTTTTCTTTCTTGCTTCCATAGAACCACCCAGGTTCATTAAGAAGCTGGAACCTTCAAGAATCGTGAAACAAGATGAATCTACAAGATACGAATGTAAAATAGGAGGGTCTCCAGAAATCAAAGTTTTATGGTACAAGGACGAGACTGAAATTCAAGAGAGCAGTAAATTCAGAATGTCATTCGTGGACTCGGTGGCAGTGTTGGAAATGCACGGGCTCAGTGTGGAAGACAGTGGAGATTACACCTGCGAGGCCTCCAATGCAGCCGGCAGCGCAAGCAGCACCACCTCCTTGAAAGTTAAAGGTCAGCTCTTATCTCTCTTTTTTTAAAATTGGGATATAATTGCTTTACAATGTTGTGTTTGTTTCTGCTGTCCAGCGGTGTGAATCAGCTATAAGTATACAAATATCCCCTCCTCCTGGAGCCCCGTTCCCCATCCCACCCCTCTCGGTCATCCCAGAGCGCCTAGCTCAGCTCCCTGTGTCATGCAACAGCTCCCCACTAGCTATCTGGGGCAAACTGGGAGAGGAGCATTTACCCATCTTTTATGCCTTGCACATCCTAGCTGTCCTCTCAATTCCCTGCTGGACTCTCCATCAAGTTTCTTAAAGTTTTAAAGGATCCAATAGAAAATTAGATGTGATACTCTCTCTCTATGTTGGAATAGACAACTGATTTTTACTTGTAAATACATACTTAGAGAATACAGCCTAATTTCCCTTTCTTTCTCACTCTATTTTCTTCCAACCTTAGAACCACCCATTTTCCGCAAAAAGCCTCATCCCATTGAAACACTGAAAGGAGCTGATGTTCACCTTGAATGTGAGCTTCAGGGCACTCCCCCATTTCAAGTTTCGTGGCATAAAGACAAGAGAGAACTTAGGAGTGGCAAGAAGTACAAGATAATGTCTGAGAACTTCCTGACGAGTATTCATATTCTGAGCGTCGATGCTGCGGACATTGGGGAGTATCAGTGTAAAGCAACGAATGATGTGGGAAGTGACACCTGTGTTGGTTCCATCACTCTGAAAGGTTAGAGTGACTTCAGCCTTCTGTGATCACTAGTATTTTCTTTCTAACTTTAATACTCTGTTGACCCCTCAGCTCTTGCTCCATCCTTTTCCACTAGTGTCTCTTCTACTTTTCCCCTTTCTCCTTTCCTAAATCTTTTTACGTTTAGTGTGCATTTCAAAGCTTACTAAGTACCCTTTTAAACAGTTTTCCCAATAGATTTTGATTGGATTTAGAAAGCTAGAGAGGCGAAGGTGTTCAGCTCCTTCTGCTTAACACAAACTCTAGGAGCGTTCCCTGGTGGTTTAGTGGTTAGGACACAACATTTTCACTTGGTGGCCCAGGATTCAATCCCTGGTCAGGAGATTAAGATCCCACAAGCCTTGTGGCAAAGGCCAGAAAAGTATAAAACTCCAATGCATTTTTGCTCCCACTCACCAGAAATGCCTCTTTAAGAAATGGAAAGAGTGCGTGATCACTAGTTTGATTCCTAGCATTGATGGCTTTGAGAGAAATACTCTTAGCCCCACACCTTTTAAATCTCCTTTTTTTTTTTTGCCCCTTTTCATCAGCACCACCAAGGTTTGTGAAGAAGCCCAGTGATGTTTCTACCATTGTTGGTGAAGAAGTTCAGCTTCAGGCTACCGTTGAAGGCGCTGAGCCCATTTCCGTGGTGTGGTTCAAAGACAAGGGGGAGATCGTCAGAGAAAGTGACAACATATGGATCTCTTATTCAGAAAACACTGCAACGCTACAGTTCTCAAGAGCAGAAACAGCCAACGCTGGGAAATACACCTGTCAGATCAAAAACGATGCCGGAATGCAAGAGTGTTCTGCCACGGTGTCCATCCTCGGTTAGTGCAGAGAGAATATCATGAGTAGAAGGCGTACACTTACCAGTACCTGTGCCTCCTTTAGTTTTTCAATGGGATTTTAACACTTGAATGCAATTGATGTCTCATTCCAGAGCCTGCAGCAATTGTGGAAAAGCCAGAATCCATAAAAGTGACCACAGGAGACACCTGCACCTTGGAATGCATGGTCACTGGCACGCCCGAACTCACTACCAGGTGGTTTAAGGATGGAAAAGAGCTGACGAGTGACAGCAAATACAAAATAAGCTTCTTCAACAAAGTGTCTGGCCTGAAGATCATTAATGTGGCCCCCAGTGACAGTGGGGTGTACAGTTTTGAGGTGCAGAACCCTGTGGGCAAAGACAGCTGCACCGCCTCAGTGCAAGTTTCAGGTTGGTTGGTTGGATTTCTGTTTCATGTTATCACAGTATAGTTCCTGCTTTACATATACGTGTATGAGAAGCTCCACACGCTACCGTGTGACATGAGCCTGACATTCTCTGACAGCAAAATTAGAGGTAATGTGCCTATTCTGTTGTTGTTCAGTTGCTAAGCCACGTCTGACTCTTTGCAGCCCCATGGATCGTAGCATGCCAGGCTTCCCTGTCATTCACTATCTCCCAGAGCTTCCTCGGACTCATGTCTATTGAATCAACGATGCCATCCGATCATCTCATTATAGAGATAGGAGAAAAGCAAGTCCAAAAGTTGTATTCCTTTCTCTTGGAGGAATTACCACAATTCAGGGTGATAGGAATAAAACTTAATTCCTGAGTAAGGAATAAGGATGCTGTGGTTTTCTACTGTCAGTTATGCTGGAATAAGTCTCCACATAATGATACACAGCAAAGAAAGACCAAAATTCCTAAGTCAACTAGCACATCTTGCCCATTGATTCTCAAGGCTTTCCATTGTGTGAAGCCTCGGGCAATTCTTTGATACCTCCACAAAAGAGCCAAATGGATCTAGGGATATTCCATCAAAAAGACAATAAGTCTCTCTTCAAATCATTTTATAACTGATGTCCCTTGTTTGTTTGATTTTTATCACATTCAGACCGAACTGTTCCTCCTTCGTTCACGAGAAGATTGAAAGAGACAAATGGCCTGTCTGGTTCCTCCGTGGTAATGGAGTGTAAAGTCTATGGATCACCTCCAATCTCTGTCTCCTGGTTCCATGAAGGAAACGAGATTAGCAGTGGAAGGAAATACCAGACCACCCTGACGGATAACACATGTGCTTTAACTGTGAACATGCTGGAAGAATCAGATGCTGGCAGCTACACGTGTATAGCTACTAATGTGGCCGGTTCTGATGAGTGCAGTGCTCCTTTGACTGTGAGAGGTCAGTCAGAAATACAGTAAAATATAATTGCATTTCATTAGGCATTAAACATTTTTATAATCAAAATTCAAAAATGTTAACCTTTTTCTGATATGTGCTTTTTTTGTTTAGAACCACCATCTTTTGTTCAGAAACCTGACCCCATGGATGTTTTAACTGGAAGCAACGTAACCTTCACAAGCATTGTAAAAGGAACACCCCCTTTCAGTGTTAGCTGGTTCAAGGGCAGCAGTGAACTAGTACCAGGGGACACATGTAATGTGTCTTTGGAGGATTCAGTTGCTGAACTGGAGTTGTTTGATGTAGATACATCACAGGGTGGGGAGTATACCTGCATCGTCAGTAATGAAGCTGGCAGAGTTTCTTGTACAACGCATCTCTACGTAAAAGGTTTGTTTGACTGCTATTCTGCATTTTTACAGTTAACATAGGTGAAGTACTGGATATGCCCATGTCCATGTGTTTGATTTCGTATTTTCAATTTGTCTGCTGCAGCCCCAGCCAGATTTGTAAAGAAGCTCAATGATTACAGCATAGAGAAAGGAAAACCTCTGATCCTGGAGGGCACGTACACTGGAACTCCTCCCATTTCCGTGACATGGAAGAAAAATGGCATAAACGTAACTCCATCTCAGAGGTGTAACATAACCACAACTGAAAAATCTGCCATCCTGGAAATCCCAAGCAGCACCGTGGAGGACGCAGGACAGTACAACTGTTACATTGAGAACACTTCTGGAAAAGACTCCTGTTCAGCACAGATCCTGATACTAGGTTTGTTGTGATTGCACATTCCCATCTTTGCATACGTATAGCCATCGTGGCATGCCTCTTTCATGACTGATTCTCTCTCTTGGTTATAGAACCACCATATTTTATCAAGCAGTTGGAGCCTGTGAAGGTGACTGTTGGAGATTCTGCCTCCTTACAATGCCAGCTTGGTGGGACCCCTGAAATTGCAGTGTCCTGGTTTAAAGGAGATACAAAATTGAGACCTACTGCTACCTGCAAGATGCATTTTAGGAACAATGTTGCTACATTGGTTTTCAACCAGGTTGATAGTAATGACAGTGGAGAATATATCTGCAGAGCTGAAAACAGTGTGGGAGAGGTGTCTTCATCAACTTTCCTGACTGTTCAAGGTGATTGCAATATTTTTAAAGTGAATGAGTGTGTTTCTTTTGAACAAGATTTAAAATATCTGGTGAGGGTTTTCTTTTGGGGAGACTCCAAATGCAAAGTTTTCTGCTTAAGTATTTCTACCTACAAATGAGCAGATTATCTTTTTTGATCACCTTTACAGAGAGAAATAAAATGACTAAATCTTCAGTTAGAAGGATCATGTCATCATTTGCTTCTATAATGAAATCTTTAAGAAAAACAAATAACCATATTTTTAAATCCCTGCTCCCTGAATGTCTCATTCAGATTACTAGAAAGCAGTCTTAAAAAGTAAGAGAATCTGCTACATGCCAGAAATATGCCTTAAACTAATCAATTTTTCTATTGGCTTACATCTTTTTACACCTACCATGCTTCAGTGTTAGTCACTCAGTCGTGTCTGACTCTTTGCGACCCCACGAACTGTAGCCCACCAGGCCCCTCTGTCCATGGGATTCTCCAGGCAAGAATACTGGAGTGGGTTGCCATTCCCTTCTCCATACATATGCATCAGCATGCCATCAAATTAAAACTTTTGCTCCATTTAAAATTTACCTGCTCTTCCCTGAGTCCAAGTTAATTAAGAGTTGTGAATACCTCCTCATATCCTGATATTTTTATAGGAATTCCATTACCTAGGTAACAATAATTGTGAGAAGAATATTCAGTAAATTCAAACTGTCCAGAAGTATTCATTACTTTAATTCTCTTCCTACAGAGCAAAAACTTCCACCCTCATTTTCTCGACAATTGCGAGATGTTCAGGAAACAGTCGGGCTACCGGTTATTTTTGAGTGTGCTATCAGTGGATCAGAACCTATCTCAGTGTCTTGGTTTAAAGATGGCAGGCCAGTGAAAGACAGCCCCAATGTACAAGCATCGTTTTTAGATAATGTGGCCACTCTAAACATTTTTCAGACTGATCGGAGTTTTGCAGGCCAGTATTCTTGCACAGCCTCAAACCCTATAGGTTCTGCTACTTCCAGCGCCAGACTCATTCTCACAGGTGCGTGAATTCCTAAGTGTCTGTTTTTGTAAGTAAAATTGTTATAACCAAATTTGAAATTAGGGGAGGACGGTGTGTGTGACCTTGGATGGTCGGGCGTGGAGCCTGAAACCTTGTCTTCCTGCTGTCCTCCCAGAGGGGAAGAACGCCCCCTTCTTTGACATCCCTCTGGCCCCTGTGGATGCTGTGGTGGGAGAGAGTGCGGACTTTGAGTGCCACGTGACTGGGACACAGCCGATAAAGGTCGCCTGGGCTAAAGACAACAGAGAGATCCGCAGTGGTGGAAACTACCAGATTAGTTATCTGGAAAACAGTGCCCACCTGACCATCCTGAAAGTGGACAAAGGAGACTCTGGACAGTATACATGTTATGCTGTCAATGAAGTGGGCAAGGACTCTTGCACGGCTCAGCTCAACATAAGAGGTACCTTTGCATATCATACCCTAAGGGTGCAGTTTGGTTAGAACAGATAATATTTAGGATTTTTTTCTTTCATTTAGGACATTTTTGAACCACTGACATAAAAACAATGTTTCAGAAGAAATGAGTTTCTCTAGAGAAAAAAATGATCTTTTAAAATCTGCATTTCTCAAAAGTTTCTCTCCCCCTCCTTTTACTTTTTACAAATATCTGGTTCTGTAACTGGCCATAAGCTATTCTTATCATCCATCCCATAAATCAGAGAACAGTTTAAAATAAGCTTGTTAAAACTAAAACATGCAACATTGTTAATCAGCTATATTCTGATATAAAGTAATTTTTTTAATTTAAAAGTAAAAATAAATAAACTTGTGGAAGGAGGCAAAATATTTAGGAACCCTACATTAATATGCTGTATTTAGTTGGTCAGCTTTGATTTTGAACTTAAAATATGGCTTCTCTTTCTTGGAAAGCCTCCTATTAATAACCTACTTCTGGATTCCACTTCATATGTCCTTGAACTTTCTTACAGAGCGGCTGATCCCACCAAGTTTCACGAAAAAACTCTCAGAGACAGTAGAAGAAACAGAAGGGAATTCTTTCAAACTTGAGGGCCGTGTTGCTGGTTCCCAACCCATCTCTGTTGCTTGGTACAAAAATAACATAGAGATCCACCCAACATCTAACTGTGAAATCACATTCAAGAACAACACACTTCTGCTGCACATCAAGAGGGCAGGCATGGATGATGCTGGTTTGTACACATGCAAAGCGTCAAATGATGCAGGCTCTGCTCTGTGTACATCTTCGATCATCATCAAAGGTAAGTCTCCTTGACTGCCCCCAGCATGGTGCGTTTTTCCTTACTGCCCATTAGACAGTCATGTGTGTTTCTTCTTACATCTCAACCTACTTCTGAATTCCAGATATATATTATTTAATTGGCTTGCTACAACTTCACTTATGTTTACTAAGATATATATATATATATATATATATGTATTATTTGTAATTTAATTACATGTCCCCCAAAGTAGGTGTCATATTATAGACTATGTATCTTAGCTTGTAAATCACATTCCAGAATGTTGTCAGGTAGTTAGAAGTCTAAGGCTACTTTGAAATTCATGCATGAGTGACATACAAATTTTTATGAAGCACACTTGTTTTTAAATTTTTAAAAATTTTCATCATTGAATATTGTATTAGTTTTGCTTACTATGAGGTCTATCACATTCTGAAGCATTCCCTTTTCTAAGGATGTTTCTACAGCATTATGTCTGACATATATTGCCCAAAGCTTTTAGCCTGTAAATGAATGTTAATCTCATGCAAAAGGATGAAATTTACTCTAAGAGAAAAAATGGGTGGAAAGATGTATATCATTACAAATATACAGTCATAGCTTGAGGCAAAGAAATAGACTGTATTGTTTAAGGAGATTGTCTCAATCTGATCTAACTGTAATGGCTTCCTCCAGATGATTATGAGGCAGTTCATCAAAATCACTTTACAGTCTAATTTCATTGAACAGCTAGGAGTTAATTAGCAACTCTGATGATCTAGCTGGCCATTTCAGGGTGCACAGACAATAGGCTAATATCATCTATAGATTAATATTACTAATAAGGTATTATCATTGAGTTAACTTGTAATTCAGATTTTATCATTCATTTAATAGGACTTAAATGAATTTAAACACATTTAGTAAGATGAAGAATATGTGCTTAGCGGTTAACTTTTATTCATGATTTACACTCATGCTGGTTTTGCCATTGAGTAGATAGATAAATACTTTCTATAGAATTCTGAAGCTTTTTAATACATAGAATTTTAAAGAGTAAGGCATCAGAAGTTTTCATCTGTGCAATCATAAATGTTGCCTTATTCTTCTTAAATGTAGGTCTCAGAACGGTTCAGTAAAATCATTACATAACACTCAGTTGTACACAGCCTTCCCATCACATTACTGATGTCTTCTTCATTGGTTTTCAGTTGAGGACTGAGCTTCAAGTCCTCATTCCTTTGGGCAAAGATTGGGTTTTTAAATGCTACTGTAGCTACATATAATAACTAAATCTGAACATCAGGGGAAATCACATATTAAAATGTGGGCTCATGGATTACTCAGATGTTGGCTTTCTTTCCCAAAGGATAGCAAGCATTGCATATCATGAGCAGAATTCTCCAATAGGCTCTTAGATTTTAGGGTTCAGTGAAAATACAGCTGCACACAAGTTTGAGAGAGTCACTAGTATGCTATGTGACACCGAAGTTTATGGTAACTGCCAGTGCAATGTTTGTAGTGCTTTATCAGGACATAGACGCTTGGGTCATTCATGGGCAACATGGCATCTGTTTGCTTGTTTTTAAACCTTTCTCTATTTTTAAAATCCAACACGTGTAACCAGTGTTTTCAGAAATAAAGGCACGTGATTCAATTCTACTATAGCAATCAGTGCTACCTGTGAGAGGCAAAATGTTCTTTTCTGGAATTTAATACTTCTTTGTTTTTATGTTCCTCATGAAAATACCTTTCTAATTCTAGAACCTAAGAAGCCACCTGTGTTTGATCAGCACCTTACCCCAGTAACAGCAAGTGAAGGAGAATTTGTGCAACTCAGCTGCCACATCTGGGGATCAGAACCCATCAGGATCCAGTGGTTGAAGGCTGGCAGAGAAATAAAGCCCTCAGACAGATGCAGCTTCAGCTTTGCTAATGGGACTGCTGTGCTGGAACTTAAGGATGTGACTAAAGCAGATGCAGGAGATTATGTGTGTAAAGCTTCCAATGTGGCTGGAAGTGACACTTCCAAATCAAAAGTGACCATTAAAGGTACAGATTTCTTGACACTATTATTTAGATTAACTGCTTATGTTTGCTGATTACAATTTAAATAAGAATGAAATTAGATTTTTGGAAATATCAGTTATTGCTCATTTGCAATTTATAGCCTCTTCTTTGGGAGAAGGCAATGGCACCCCACTCTAGTACTCTTGCCTGGAAAATCCCATGGACGGAGGAGCCTGGTGGGCTGCAGTCCATGGGGTCACTAAGAGTCGGACACAACTGAGCGAATTCACTTTCACTTTTCACTTTCATGCATTGGAGGAGGAAATGGCATCCCACTCCAGTATTCTTGCCTGAAGAATCCCAAGGATTGGGGAGCCTGGTGGGCTGCCGTCTATGGGGTCGCACAGAGTTGGACACTACTGAAGCGACGCAGCAGCAGCAGCCTCTTCACTGTAATTAAAATACTAGATCATTTCATGGCAATAATTTCCATATGAATTTTCTGAAAGTACCCAAGTTCACCATCACATTTCTTGACATTTTTTTTCACCATATCCAAAAATATAACTAAAATGGAGTTCCAGAAATGATCCTGCTTAATAATGTAACATAAGGTAGCCTGATTTGTTGTTGTTATTGTTCAGTCATTAAGTCATGTCCAACTCTTTGCAACTCCACACCAGGCTCCTTTGTCCTCCACTGTCTCCCAGAGTTTGTTCAAATTCATGTCAAGTTGCAATGCTAATAATATCAGCTAACCTGATATTATATCCCTAAAGAAAATCTGTGTCATGAAACGAAGTCTAGAGGTATAAAACTTGATGCTATTGATGTGATTGTAGTTCAGTCTGCTTGCCATAACTGTAACTGGTTATAAATGTCTGTGAAATTGCTTTATCTTCTGCAATCCACTCATATAGAGTTCATAATATTTGTGACATTGCCAAACTCTTAAAGTCTACTTTTCAAAGAAAATTATTTATTGCAATTTTAAGGTAATTGTGATAACAAAACATGTACATGTGTTTTTTGTTTTAGACAAACCAGCTGCCGTCCCAGCAGCTAAGAAAGCAGCAGTAGATGGAAAACTCTTCTTCGTATCAGAACCTCAGAGTATCAGAGTTGTAGAAAGTAAGTACTTCATGAAAAGTACATCTTCATCTATCTTGTACATTTTACTACTGATTTAATTTCAGAAAAAAAATAGTCTTTGAAAGTTAAATTTTTATTGAATTGTTTTCATCGTTCCTTAGAAACCACTGCAACATTCATTGCAAAAGTTGGAGGTGATCCAATTCCAAATGTGAAGTGGACAAAAGGGAAATGGAGACAGCTGAACCAAGGAGGTCGAATACTGATCCACCAAAAAGGCGATGAAGCCAAGCTGGAGATTAGAGACACCACAAAAACTGATTCTGGGTTATACCGATGTGTTGCGTTTAATAAACATGGTGAAATTGAAAGTAATGTTAACCTACAGGTGGATGAAAGGAAGAAACAAGAGAAAATTGAAGGAGATCTTAGAGCAATGCTGAAAAAGTAAGTTCAGTAAAACATCGCTTTTGGTAATATTCCATTCGTGGACCATCCCCTCCAAGATTCAGATTGTGAAAGAAAATAAGCACATAGGTGTTTTTAACAGATAAGGAAATATATAGTATTTGAGTGGAAGTTAGTGGTGCCTTAATGTCAATTTCTAAATAATCATGAGAAAGTTTTGAGAATGAGGTAAATTTTTATTAAAACTTTGAACAAAGGAAATGGCCTATAGATAAACCTGTGTCTAGACATAAAATTTTTGGTTCTACATGTAATTTTCCTTACTCTGAATGGCTTTCTAGATCAACTGTTTTAAATATTTTCCATAATTACCAGTAGTATCAATACCAATTATGTTTCATCATGATTAATCAACATTTAATTTCTACACATTTCCCATGATATAGGTGTTCTTTATTAATATTTCCCATGATCATTATCATTTTTCATTATTCTTTCAGTAGCCTCTTTTGTTGTAAAGTTTACAAAAATACTTGTTTTCTTTCCTTTCTTAAACTCTTTGATCAATCTCTGTACTTGGCACTGTGGTCCAATCTTAATCCACTCCATCTCCAAACCCACATTTTTTGTTTGTTTCACAATTTTGTTTGTTTGTTTAACATGGTAAAACTAGTAGTTATTAAATAAAGAACACAGAACTATAACTTTGTGAAAAAAATTTAATTATAATCTTTGAATGATGGTAGACAGTTCAGAATAAGTAGAAGAGAGGTAATTCATGTTTCTTTCTTATTTCATTTAGGACTCCAGTCTTAAAGAAAGGAGCTGGGGAAGAAGAGGAAATTGATATCATGGAGCTTCTCAAAAATGTTGATCCAAAAGAATATGAAAAATATGCCCGCATGTATGGAATCACTGATTTCCGGGGTCTTCTTCAAGCATTTGAACTGCTAAAGCAAAGTCAAGGAGAAGAGACACATAGATTGGTATGCTCTTTGGTGTATAGTATAATCTCTAACAATTCACGCTTGAAACATCTAGCTTGCGCCTTTTGAATTTCCAGATATTATACAGTTGTATAATATCGTAATATAACCTAAGAAGCATCAAGAATGGAAGCTGAATATAATCATCCATCTTCTGATTCAAAATCTTTTCCATATGTAATAATTGTACTTTTTTCCTCCCTAGGAAATTGAAGAAATAGAGAAGTCAGAGAAGGAAGAGAAGGAATTTGAAGAACTTGTATCCTTTATTCAGCAAAGGCTGTCACAAACAGAGGTAAAATGAATCATGCTGATCACAAAATGAACAAATTATTGGAAATTACAAGGGAAGGAGTGACTAATGCATTTTAATTTTTTATTCTCCTAGCCTGTCACTCTGATCAAGGACATTGAAAATCAGACAGTTTTGAAAGATGACGATGCTGTCTTTGAAATTGACATTAAGATTAATTATCCAGAAATCAAGCTTTCATGGTACAAAGGGACTGAAAAACTGGAACGCAGTGATAAGTTTGAAATAAGCATTGATGGTGATCGACATACTCTCAGAGTCAAGAACTGTCAACTTAAAGATCAGGGCAATTACAGATTGGTGTGTGGTCCACACATTGCTAGTGCTAAACTAACTGTAATTGGTAAGTAAAATGAGTTTTACTATTTTTTTAAAAAAACTGATGAAATGAATTTACTTTTGAACACATCACATGTGATATCAAACAAAAATATGTACTGTGTTACACCCACAGAGCCTGCCTGGGAACGGCATCTTCAGGATGTTACTTTGAAAGAAGGCCAGACTTGTACCATGACCTGCCAGTTTTCAGTGCCAAATGTAAAATCTGAATGGTTCAGAAATGGCAGAATCCTTAAACCCCAAGGTAGATACAAAACAGAAGTGGAGCACAAAGTCCATAAGCTGACCATTGCAGATGTTCGAGCAGAGGACCAGGGTCGATACACCTGTAAACACGAAGACCTGGAAACTTCCGCAGAGCTCAGGATTGAAGGTGGGTGAAAGAGTATGGCTGGAGTTATCACAGCATCGGTCAGAGGCAAATGCTGTGCACAACCCCTGCAAGCTTGCCTTTGCGTGTAAAGTGCTTGTGCAAACTCATTTCCCAGCACACTCACAGCAATCCATTCACTCATGTCTCAAAATCTATACAAAATCAAAAGGGAAGTATTCCCATAAGTGCTGATTCATTTTTATAGTTCTTTTTGACCAGTAGATTTCAATCTAAACTATGACATGACTTTCTGTTATTTCTGATAAATTTCATAAGTCTTCTAACTTCAATAATTTTTTGCAATTCTACTAAATGCCATAAATCTCACATCTCTGATTTTGAATCCTAGAAATAAATCTTAGAGAAAGGACCAGATTTCATGGCTGTATGTCTTGAACATCTTGGCTAGGAGATGACCATTTGTTTATAGGAATCAGTTTGACTATCTGTATGAAACTATGTAGATAGAATTAATAATATATGTGATATGTGATTAGCAGCTATTTTTCAAAAACAGTTATTTCATATGAAGATCACACTCCAACCTTATGAATCTCTGAAATGAAATGGAATGTCAGGATTTAGAAGCAACAAGTTTTATTTCCTAAAGACCTACACCTTTAGACTGTATTCAGCAACATTTGACTCTAAGGATGGGCTCTACTTCCAGGCATTGTTACCCATTTATAGCTGCTGAAATAACAACTGTGTGCCTTCTTATTTACATAAGCATTTCAAAATCTCTGACTTGCTTTACAGTGGATATCAAGGTCTGGTTGTATTTTAAAATTCAGAAATTTTTAATAGTTTTCCATTTAAAGGATCCAGTTGAAACCACTTATTTTTTAAATAATTGCCTAGTTTTTCTATGATCCTTAAAAAAAAAAAAAAACTTACTAGACCACGTATGATATCTAAGCTGCTCACAATGCTGTGAAACATTGAATTCCAGATGAAATTTTGCAGGAGGATCTCCACTCCAACCCCGTCTCCTCCCGTACACCTTGCCATTTGCAAGGGGTGGACTCCATGCCTGCCCACTGGTGCTTGCAAAGCAGGTTGCAGAACTCTTCAAAATGAATCCTGTGAAATTTAGAAGAGCAGATTTCCTATTGAGTTTAAAATTATTTCACAAGAAAAGTTATAAAGTTCACGTAATAAACAGTTCTAGAACCTGAAAGTCAGAATTATTTTACAGAGGAAAGAATTTCAAAAGGGAATAAAGTGTATAGTAAGATGAAGTTTATGTTCCCTTTCTTTTGAAGCCCCCATTTCACTAACATTTTTAAAGTTTAAGTTTTATTCTGGATTACAAGCACCTTGACTATTTTCTTCGTGTAAATATTATAAGGACTTGCAGGATTTCTTTAAACTTTTCCACATTAATCTTACAGGAGTACACATAAGTATTGAGATAATTTTTTGTTACTAATGCAAAGAAGTGTACTTTGTCCTTCTTTTATATTTTCAGCCCTTTTCTGCTATTTTCCAATCAGATAAAAAGATAGAGGGAAAAGCACAGTGAAAGAAATTCCTCCTCTACAAACTAAATTTGAACTCTTTTTGTATTTAAACAGCTGAACCAATTCAGTTTACAAAGCGCATACAGAACATTGTTGTGAGTGAGCACCAGTCTGCCACCTTCGAATGTGAAGTGTCCTTCGATGACGCCATTGTAACTTGGTACAAAGGACCAACAGAACTGACCGAGAGCCAGAAATACAACTTTAGGAATGATGGTCGCTGCCATTATATGACCATCCACAACGTGACCCCAGATGATGAAGGTAACTTTTAATTGACAATGTCCCTGTGAATATATAATTTAAGCTTTTCCTGTTTTATGTATTTCTTCTCTAGTTTATGCTTATACTCTGTGATTCTATCTAGGTTAGTTTCCTAGGAAAGAAAAATATAAATGAATACTATGTTTAAAGAAAGAAGTGTTATTTTCAAACATATCAGAACGCAAAGGTTTCATGATCTTTTTCCCTTAGGTGTCTATTCAGTAATTGCTCGACTGGAGCCCAGAGGTGAAGCCAGAAGCACTGCAGAGCTGTACTTGACAACCAAAGGTCAGAAAACACCCCATTCAAATCACACTGCTATTCTGGCAACAAAGTAACCTCCCAAGACATTTCTATTAAATTTTCTAAAATACCTTTTTTTTTTTAATTTTGCAGAAATCAAACTTGAGATGAAGCCTCCTGGTAAGTTAAAAAAAATCAATACTTGCTTACAATACATTCAGTATAATTTTGTAAGTGATAGAAGCCAAACTAATATAAAATATTATTCAGTAAAATTATCATCAGGAAAATAATACCAATGTTAGGCTTTATGAGTTTGGGAAATTAGAGGTAATGAGGTCACATTCAGGTGACTTCTAGGATCAGGTCAAACAGTGTGGCCATAGAACAAAACAGATTGTCACAGGGAATGAATTTGCATGTGTGGCTGCTTACAGAATAATCTTAATATCTTTGTCTCTATATTAGATTCTGCTGTTGGAAATGCCTAACAACCAAACACATCTTAGTTGTCTAAAAAATATCTGAGCTTTCAGTCTTTTGCTGCTTATCACTATTAAATATCTCTTTTCAGATATTCCTGACTCCAGAGTTCCAATTCCTACCATGCCAATCCGAGCAATACCACCAGAAGGTAAGAAAGACCCAGCACCACCCCCCACCCGCCCCCGCCCCAGGCTTGAATATGGTAGCAGTAATATGCCACCACTGTGCTTCCCTGTGGCTCAGCGGAATCCACCTGCAGTGCAGGAGATGCAGGTTTGATCCCTGGGTTGGGAATACTCCGTGGAGGAGAGAATGGCAATCCATTCCAGTGTTCTTGCCTGGAGAATCGCATGAACAGGGGAGCCTGGGGGGCTACAGTCCACAGGGTCGCCAACAGTCAGACTCAGACATGACTTAGCATGAGACAAACAAAAAGCAAGCAATATACTACCTACCACCATAAAGTTGCCAGTGCCAAACCATAGTATCCTTCCACTTTATCTTCTTCATGGTGTAATTAGAAATCAAAGCAAAAGAGTAGTTGCAGTTATAAATAGATACTTTGTTTATGTGGTCTGACTATTGAACTGCTACTATACCACCTTTGAAGAACTGAAAGAAGTGCATGAGACTTTTCATTGTATTTCACACAGAATGAGAAACCAAACCATGTTACTCATGATGGCATTTATTTTTTTAGAAATTCCTCCTACGGCTGTTCCTCCCATCCCTCTTTTGCTACCATTACCTGAAGAAAAGAAACCACCAGCAAAACGTGTTGAAGGTATTATATGTTATCTACCTAAATGCCAAAATATAGGACTTAATTATTGAATATACAGACCTGGAAAATATTGTTTAGTGCAACACGTTGGCCCTCTAGTGGTCAGCAGGTTGGATTGCCTTTCAAAATGTAAGCTACATGATTTAAGTATTAATTAAATGTGTTGGACGTGTTCCTAAAAGTCTGAAAATCAATAGAAAAAATAAATATCATGCTTAATATTAAAATATTTTTTAAAAAATCACTTAAGCATTAATAGCAAGCTGATTTCACATTTAATATTTTCCTAACTACTCCATTTAGCAATAAAATAATAAAATCAAATCCTAGTGAAACTTACAGAAATAAAAAATGCTAGTGTATAGTGAGGTTTAAAATTTTAGTTTGTGTTTTTTCTCAATTGCACTATTAACTACACCTTAAAATTCACTATTTCATTATAAAAATATGAGTTAGAATATCTTTGATTTGTTTTTCCAAAGCTAAGGAAAGAGCTCTCCAATAAACTTATGAGTGTGTCAGGGAATTGTCCCTCTTAAATATTTCAGTAGATAAGTTGTGCTGTTTGTGCCTGGAAACTTCTCAACTAATTAATCAGCAGACTGCCTGGACTTTCTAGAGTTCTGGGGAGTTCAATACTGTTGTTAGAATTCTCCCAGCAACATCAGGAAAAAATTCTGCATGTCAAGGTCACATTTTCCCAAAGCCAAGCCACTATTATAGTAGTAGCCTCCAGGCTAATCCTCTAATAGCCATTACAATTGGTGTCAAAAGCTTGAGAAATTTTTCAGCTAGCCTGAGGGGAAATCTAGTTAAAAGACAAAAAAATAAAAAGCACTTCTAGTTTTATGATTAAACTATCTCAGTAACAAAGAATAATATTTTTATAACTTACATAAACATAGTTAACTATATTTTGTCTACTTCTGATAGTAAAAATGAGCAAGAATCAAATACCGAAAAATAGATTTCTGCTTATATTTATTGTCAGGAATAATAATTCATCTTAATGAGTGAATTATGCTTTGAGCACTACTGTCAACATGACTAAGTTTAAGTACCCACTGGGAAACTTGAGAAATTAAATCACATTTAAAAACTTCAGAACAGTCTCATTATTCATGAATACTAGGAGCCATAATCAAGTTATGATCTGGGGCCAGGATCAAGGTATATGTTAGCATTAACAGAAGAAAATTTCCATAATATAGCATAGGTGGAACTTTAATTTTACTAATTCACTTGTTATTCTTATTCCTGAAAATTTAAAGCAGTCTTACCTAAGTGAAACAAAGATGAAATAGTGTACCTTGTCTATACATATCACCTGGGTTTGCCCTGGATGTTTCAAAAACTTGAAGCAGGCAAAAATCAGTGTGGGCTTCCCTGGTGGCTCAAATGGTAAAGAATCTGCCTGCAATGCAGGAGACCGGAGTTCAGTCCCTGGGCTGGGAAGATCTTCACGGGGAAGATCCCCTGGAGAAGGAATTGGCAACCCACTCCATTACTCCTGCCTGGAGTATTCCATGGACAGAAAAGCCTGGCGGGCTACAGTTCATCAGATCACAATCAGACATGACTTTCACTTTCACTTACGTATTCTTTCTCCTTCCCCCCAAATTTTTCTACTTTCTAGTCCAAGATCTTTCTGAAACAGGCATCTTACAATAATGTACAGAGTCTCTTGTTATCATCAAACCATATGAAAAAAATGAATTTCAATAAACCTCCCAGTCTCCTGAAAACATTTTAGTAAAATTTACATCTGACATCTTATTTTTTAGTGACCAAAAAAGCTGTGAAGAAAGATGCTAAAAAGGTTGTCGCAAAGCCCAAGGAAGAGGCACCACCACCTAAAGGTATTATGATTTATCAAAATTCCAAGAATTCCCCGGCAGTCCAGTAGTTAGGGCTTGCCACTTTCACTGCTGTGGGCCAGGTTCAATCCCTGGTCAGGAAAGTAAAATCCTGCGAGCTGCACCGCACTACCCCACCCCACCCCCCAAAATTCAATCTTACTGCTTTTCTCTTAGTTAAAAAAAATTTAAATCCAGATAGGGAAGGACAGAGGAAGACTAAGAGTGTGACTTTATAAAATGGTACCTCTTCATTTACTCACCCTCACACTGTTCTTTGACTCGGTCCTCACTTTCTCTTTCTCAACTTTCTTTATTTTCCCATTTTTCTCCTCCCCTGTCCTCTTTTGCCTGTGTCTGCCCATGACAGCCAATGGCCACACCAGAGAGTTCTTATTGTCTCTGGATGGTGATTTAAAGAAGGCACTGCCCTCTGGTCCAACATATGGTCTTAATCTAGTCACTCAGATAGAATGTTTTAAAGGGCTGGTGCTAGTTCTGAGTGGTTGCTCCAGCCCAGTTCAGCATCTTTCCCGGTTCAGCTGAGCTAAATGTCAATACCCACAGAAGAAAAATACTTTGTACAGGGGTGTCAATTTACCTACTTTAAGTTTTCGTTGTCACTTGGAAAATTTTTAGAAAGAAAAATAGATAGCTAAATTTAAGCAGTTTTATCCATCTGGCTAAGATTAGAGTACAGCAAGCTCCTAAAAAGAAGGAAAATTCAGGAGCACAGGGTACTCCTTCACTGAGACTTTTTTTCTGAGTGGTCATTTATGAAGTGTTACAGAATAAGGAGAAGCTCAAAAGCCATGAATAGTTCCTGAACTTTATCATTAATCCCTGAAAAAAATTATTTTCTTTTAGCATTATGTTTTAGCATCAGACATACTGAATATTCTCTTTATGTTTCATATTTTTAAATTGTTTTAAATCAATCTAAGCTAGAAAAAAGTTTTACCCTTCCCATATTTTTGTTTGCATGGCATTGCAGAGCATTTCTGGTGAGCCAAATTTGCATCTTATAAAAGCATTTGGTATACAAATAGTATTCACAGATCATACAAATGACTAACAAGGGTATATAGGATTAGTAAGCATTAAAAAATGCATAATCTAAAAATAAACTTGCATTTTTTGTTTTCAAAGCTCTAGAGATTCCCAAGCCACCACGTCCTACTGCCTTAATTCCAGCAGAAGGTAAATGAAATTATTAAATATTCTATTTCTTGCTGAGATTTTTATCCCTGCATTGTATTCTTATGTACTAAGCTTCCAACTTATTATAAAATTGCAGTCTCCTCTGCTACAGTAAAATTAGCAGTCAAAATAATGGCTACTTTATATTGGGCAAATTCCAGGAAAGAAACCTAGGCAGATGTTTATGTAGCCTCTCTGCAGTGGACACAGGGAAAGAAGTGGTTAGGGCTAGAAAGGAGGGATCACCTCTTATTATTTCAGCTTAACACGGATGTTAAGCATCATATGAATAATGTTAGCCTTAGTATTTTTAAAGTTGTCATACAAAAACAATTAATTGATTTAGTTACAAAATTTCAAATATTATCTTTATTAAACTGACTAAAGGGTTATATTCAGTATTCAAAAATGTAGCTTTAAAATTAGTACTGTTTTTGAAAGAATTGGAGTTGTAAGTAGCCGCAGAAATATTAAATATAAATTCCATAAAAAGATCAAATATTAAGATATTCCATGGGAAAAAAGCTAAGAGTTTTACAAATTGGAGCTCCCACAAAACAATGGAAGATTGTGTTCATTTAAGAATATTTACTGAATGCCATTTTGTACACATGGGAAGAGTCCTCAGATTAAGAGTAGACTGTCTCTTGTCCCTCCTGATTGTGTTCCATAATCAACAAAAGTTTAAGCAGAACCACAACACAAAGAAAACATAAGCAATCAAATTGATGCGAAAACCTGAGACGCTGATACTGCTAGATGACATCGACTTTTGTTTAGTGAAGTAATTGTGTGGATATAATTAATAACGCTAATATTATTTTGTTTAATTTATTGTAGCACCTGAAATTATTGATGTATCCTCCAAGGCTGAAGAAGTGAAAATAATGACCATAACCAGAAAGAAAGAGGTTCAGAAAGAAAAAGAAGCTGTGTATGAGAGAAAACAAGCAGTCTACGAGGAGAAGAAAGTTTACATAGAGTCTTTGGAAGAACCTTACGACGAGCTAGAGGTGGAACCGTATACGGAGCCGTATGAAGAGCCTTATTATGAGGAACCGGAGGAAGACTACGAAGAGACCCAGGTAGAAGCTAAGAGGGAAGTTCACGAGGAATGGGAAGAAGATTTTGAAGAAGGGCAACAATACTATGAAAGGGAGGAAGGTTATGACGAAGGCGAGGAAGAGTGGGAAGAGGCTTACCAAGAGAGGGAACTCATCCAAGTTCAGAAGGAGGTTTATGAAGGTGTGTATTAGTCAGGTGGTTTTTTCTCTTTGCCTCATTGTTGCTCAATTCTATTTTCAAGGC